AATACAAAGCAATTTGCCACACTTTATCGTAGGCTTTAATTTCAATATCTCTTTTTATGGCTTATTTACATTTATCTCCCTAAATACATTTACACAAGATTGAAAGAGGAATAAAGACAAAATCAATATCAACAACAACAACCACTCAATTGTTTTCAATAAAATTCAAATTCAAGCGAACTCCTGCAATAGTTTGTACGGCTTCCATGGAAAAACATTTTCGTAAAAGCGATTGTAAGTTAGTGGGGTTTTTTATATTTATGGGTTGGTATATTGGTATGGGAGTTAAAAACTCGTTTGATGGAAATCATAACTAACTTTCAAAGTGTAAAATAGTTGAGTCCTTAATAAATTTTAAGGTATTTTATATCGCGTGCAGTTATTTCTTGATCAATTTTTAAATTTAAATGATTCAAAATATTTTCCGTGCACCCCAATATTAGTTGACATTGCGTTTTGTTTGCTGTTGTTTAGTGTTAATTGTATGTTTACACTCTTGTCCCGATAGGTAAATATATCTCAAACACCGTTGAGCTACTGGCAAATTGGGGTATTGTTCAATTTCAGTTTTTTTTCGCGTTTCTCTTGGGTGGGCGTCTCTTTTCCCAAACAACTTTTTATGGGCCTTATCTTCCACCGTTGATTAAATTGATTGGAAATTGATTGTGTGGTAAAGTGAATTTGTATTGGTTTTGCTTTCATTTGTATATTAAAGAGGAAAGAACTAGGTAAGTGAGGAGATTACATTGCTTGTACTTTAATTTGTTAAAACGTACATAATTTATACCCTTCACCACACTGCGGTACAGGGTATTATGTCTTTGTGCATATGTTTGTAACAGGCAAAAGGAAACGAGATAGACCCATGGTTCCTTTTGAGAATATGCATAGAATCACTTTTTAAGACGATTTAAGCACGTCCGTCCGTCTGTCTGTCCATGTATTTTTGTGAGCAAAGTACAGGTCGCATTTATGATCCGAAATGGATGAAATTTGGCACAGCTCATTTGTTTGGCCCAAGGACGAACCCTATTGAAATTGGGAAAAATCGGTTCATATTTAGATATAGCTCCCATATATATTTTTGTCCGATCTAATGTAAATGGTGTACATAAGTCCCTATATATCTTTCGATTTGGACGAAATTTGGTATAACGTACTGACTTGGGCCTAGAGTGATGTCTGCCAAATTTCGTGAAAATCGGTCAAGATTTAGATATAGCTCCCATATATAGTATCGTCCGATTTACTGTAAATGGTGTACCAAACTCCCTATATATCTTTCGATTTGCACGAAATTTGGTATAACGTACTGAATTGAGCCTAGAGTGATGTCTGCCAAATTTCGTGAAAATCGGTCAAAATTTAGATATAGCTCCCATATATAGTTTCGTCCGATTTCATGTAAATGGTGCACCAAAGTCCCATTTATCTTTCGATTTGCACGAAATTTGGCATAACATACTGAATTGATGCTGGAATGATGTGTGCTGAGTTTCGTGAAAATCGATTCAGCTTATGATATATATATTTTCGTCCGATTTAATCTAATAAAATACCAAGTTCTTACGTTGCATAGCGTTTTGAATTTAATCCAGAAAAATGTGTGCCAAGTTTAGTGAAAATCGGTTGAGATTTAGATGTAGCTCAGTATAGCCTAACCTGTGACAAGTTTCGTTGAAATCGGTTCATATTTGGATATAGCATCCATATATAAGTAAATTGTGCATCAAACTCCTCATATTTGTTAGATTGACATCAAATTTTTCACAACGTACAAAATTGAGTATAGAATAACGTAGTTGGGTTTTCTAGAAGAACAGACCTATCCCAACGGATGACCTTTTGATATTTGTTTGAAGTCTATTTACATACTTTTGTTCCATTGTAACAAACAAATGTTCCATGTAGATAAAATATCACATATTTTATTTCATACAATTTAATGATAATAGTCCTGTTTAATGTACTCATAGTGGTGAAGGGTGTCATATAGTCGGCCCCGTCCGACTTTACTACTTTCCTTACTGGTTTTTACTATGTTTTCGATATCACAATGATACTCTTTTTTTATGTATAATAAATAGGAAAAAAAATAAAAATACAAAAAATCAGCCTATAGCATTATATAGGCAACTTAAAAACTATATATCTAATACAAAATAGTACTATTATTACAAGACAAAAATGTAGTTATTATTTTTCATTGCACCATATTATTATATAGAATTATTATACTATATTTTAATTCTTAAGTGTAAAATTACTTATCTCATTTTTTCATATCAATATAAATCATGACAGCAGCATTAAGATAAGCCACTTCATTTCATTTGTAATAATAAAAAACAAAAACAAAATTAAAACAAAAATCTGGAAATTGCATTCATTTATTCTAAACCTCTCAAGTACTTGGCATTTGAACAGAAAAGTGAAAATGAAAACACAGCGTAATGTGACTGTGATTCTGGACTTGCAGAATAATTCCTCTTAATTGACGGAAGCTTTAATAAATCACCAACAGCGCCAACATTTCAGATTTGTGGCAGCAAAATATGCATTTGATTAGACGACAAGCTCTATGCCGTTGCTGGGTTTGCTGGCCGCTTGTGGCTCAAGTGATGGATACAATGAATTTGATTGTTTTATATAAGAATCGCAATTTGTATCCATTCGTATGTTCCTCCGTCTGTCCGTTCAGCATTTTTATTTTCAGCTCATCGCCAGGGTAAAACATTTTAACAGCCATCAAAGGTCAATGTCAAGTGCAAAATAATAACGCTGATGCATGCTGACTGACATCCGAACATTTAATTTTTGTTTTATATTTTTTAACAGGTTGTTGTCACAGTATTTGTTGTGTTTTGTTTTATTGCATCAATTTAGCATAGTAATAATAATCATTAACTTTTCTTTATTATAATACGAGCGTAATTGGTTTCATGTACCGGAATTAATATTTGTTATTGTTCATACAATTTTGTACTTCTGACAAGCGTTATTTTTTAATTGTCCAATCCAATTGTCATATTGCTTAAAGTACAATAATCCATATCATGGGGGAATTTACCCAGGAAATATAATTCTAATTTTATCTCATATCAATCATATTTTTAATTATTTACCTATGTAAGGTATGTTCCGAAAGGGTTAACACAAAGGGTTATAAATTGTATGACAAAATAGGCTAAAACATGTTGCATACACTTAGGCGTAGCTATTTATTAGTTGTCAATAATAACCGGTTAAAAAATAACCGATTGTTTTATCGCGATGATGACTGTAACGAAATTGAACTACCACCTATTATCTTTACCAAGGTCCGAAGATAGGATCTATTGGCACACTCCTTCTGGTACCTCTCCCACAAAGGGTCAAAATTTACAATATTTATAAATTCAATATGATGAGAATGAAATGTCCGATTTTAACCAAACTTTGCACAACCTTTTATCTTTACTACGTCTATATTTAATCCGGAAATGGGAGCCATTGGTCCACTGCTTCTGGTATCTCCACCGCAAAGGATCAATATTTTATAAGCTTTTAAATTTAATTTGAAGTGAATTGAATAGTCGATTTGATCCACATTTAATCCGAAACTTCTTTGATAAAAACATATACCTTATATAAAGCCAATAAAACACCTGTATGTAATTCCTAAGATATCCGTAAACCATAGGCTGAGAGTATATATATGTCGGCAATGTGGTACAGGGTATTATGTCTTGGTGTCCATGTGACCCATGTCCATGTGACTTTATGTCCATGTGACCCCTGGCTCCTTTTGAGAATATGCATAGAATAACTTTCTGAGTCGATTTATGCATGTCCGTCCGTCTGTTGACGTTAAATTGTAAACAAAATAAAGGTAGCATTTATAATCCGAATTGGATGGAATTTGGCACAGCTCATTTATTTAGCCCAAGGACGAACCCTATTGAAATTCGTGAATATCTGTTCAGAGTTAGATATAGCTCCCATATATATGTTCGTCCGATTTTATGTAAATGGTGCACTAACGTCCCTATATATCATACGATTTGTACGAAATTTGGCATATCGTACTGAATTGAGCCTAGATAGATGTGTGCTTAGTTTTGCAAACGTCGGTTCAGATTTAGATATAGCTCCCATATATATTTTCGTCCGATTTTATGTAAATGGTGCACCAAAATCCCTATATATATTCCGATTTGCTCGAAATTTGGCATAACGTACTGAATTAAGTCTAGAGTGATGTATGCTAAGATTCATGAATTTCGGTTAAGATATAGATATATCTCCCATATATATTTTCCTCTGATTTTATGTAAATAGTGCACCAAATTCTCTATATATCTTTCGATTTGAATATTTAGATATTGCTTACATTCTTACTTAGCAGGTTTGTTACAGAACGGTTGTTGTGCCGAGCTTAGAAAAGATTTCCAAGCGCGCCGGTCTTGTGCGCATCTAATCCAATTTGAAAGACCACGTTCCAAGATGTTGTTTTCTACTCGGTCTTTCTATCTGATTCGTGGCCTTCCCCTTCTACGGGAACCATCAGTAGGCTCGCTTTTATATGCCTTTTGAACTAGGGCATTCCCATTCATTCGCACAACGTGGCCTAGCCATCGTAGTCGGTGCAGCTCAATACGATTGACTATGCCGATGTCCGCGTATAAATTGAAAGGCTCGTGGTTCATTCAACGCCGATATTCACCGTCGACGCAGATTGGCCCGTAGATCTTTCGGAGAATTTTTCTTTCAAACACCCCCAAGAGCTGCATCATCTGCTTGCGCAAGTACCCATGCTTCAGAGCCATATAACAGCACGGGTAGTATCAACGTCTTGTAAAGTGTGAGTTAGTCTGGGGGGAGGTGGCCTTACTTCTAAACTGTGTACTAGATCAGAAATATATATAGTTGCCCTCGCAATGTCCTTAATATTTCTATGTAAAAATTCCGGATTTCTGCAGTGTACAATTGTTTTTTTATTATTTTTAACAATTTACAGTTCATTCATCAACTTTTTCCAATTTTCCGCCAATTACCGTCCACAGTGTTCCATTATCAGCGACTTCCAATATTCTGACGAATGCTTTTGCAAATTCCTCTGGTGATTGTTTTGAATGATTTTCCATTGTTGCCTTTATTTCTTCATAATATTGCGGAAATGTAGATTTTAGAAATAGGTCTCTAATAATATTAGTAGTTGTGGATCCGGGACAAATTGTAATAAAACTTACACTAGTGTATTCATAATAGCAAGGATTCTGAAAAGAAAGGCAAATACTTATATTCAAATAAAAATATAATAAATTAATCGTTAAATTACCGCCATTGATTTCGAGAAGCTAATAACAGCACTCTTTGTTGCAGAGTACACGGCAGCAATGGCCATCGGTTCTAAACCAGCCACTGATGCAATATTGACTATAATTCCACCAAGACCACCATTTGCCTTACTCATATGATTTAAGGCTATCACATTGCTATGGATAACACCCGTCTGTAAATAGCAAAAAATATATATTGGCATTTGCTCCTTTGTAGAGAATACTTATTGATGACTTACCAAGTTAACAGCCACTGTCAAATCAATCAGACGTTCATTCAAAATACCACTTCCATTGATCATATATAACAGCACGGGTAGTATCAACGTCTTGTAAAGTGTGAGTTAGTCTGGGGGGAGGTGGCCTTACTTCTAAACTGTTTACTAGATCAGAAATATATATGTATAGTTGCCCTCGCAATGTCCTTAATATTTCTATGTAAAAATTCCGGATTTCTGCAGTGTACAATTGTTTTTTTATTATTTTTAACAATTTACAGTTCATTCATCAACTTTTTCAAATTTTCCGCCAACTACCGTCCACAGTGTTCCATTATCAGCGATTTCCAATATTCTGACGAATGCTTTTGCTAATTTCTCTGGTGATTGTTTTGAATGATTTTCCATTGTTGCCGTTATTTCTTCATAATATTGTGGAAATGTAGATTTTAGAGATAGGTCTCTAATAATATTAGTAGTTGTGGATCCAGGACAAATTGTAATAAAACTTACACCAGTGTGTTCATAATAGCAAGGATTCTGAAAAGAAAGGCAAATATTTATAATCAAATAAAAATATAATAAATTAATCGTTAAATTACCGCCATTGATTTCGAGAAGCTAATAACAGCACTCTTTGTTGCAGAGTACACGGCAGCAATGGCCATCGGTTCTAAACCAGCCACTGATGCAATATTGACTATAATTCCACCAAGACCACCATTTGCCTTACTCATATGATTTAAGGCTATCACATTGCTATGGATAACACCCGTCTGTAAATAGCAAAAAATATATATTGGCATTTGCTCCTTTGTAGAGAATACTTATTGATGACTTACCAAGTTAACAGCCACTGTCAAATCAATCAGACGTTCATTCAAAATACCACTTCCATTGATCACAATATCAATGTGTCCTATTTTGTCCATAACAATTGTATAGGCATTCTCAATGGTTTCAACTTTGGACATATCAACTGGAACAAATTCAATTTTAGAAATCGGAAATTCCTTTTGAAATTTGTCCAAATATTCATTATTTGTAACCACGTCGAATATAAACATATGTCCAATTTCCTCCTCCAATAATTCTTCAATGCATTTCTGCCCAATGCCACCAAATCCGCCAATATAGATTACACATTTGCCCTTAAACTTCATCTTTCCGATTCGACAGCTAAACAAATACTGATTCTGATATAAAATTGGAATGTGTTTTTTGTGTAGCTTTATAATAAAATGGTTGTTAATCATTATTCATCGCTTATTTTTAACGAGAAAGCTAACATTACATAAATTCAAGTATTATGTTCTTAAACTAACTGTAACACGTTGCGAAATTTGCAGGTCAATGTTTGAAATATTATTTTGAGTGATTAATATATCTGCATCTTAAGATCCCATACGAGCATCGAATTGGTAGGAAGGCAGAAAACATGTCTTTTTCTATTTTTATACCCTCCACCATAGTATGAAGGGTATATTAGTTTTGTTTTTCCGTTTGTAACTCATCGAAATAATCATTTGCGACCCCATAAAGTATATATATTCTTGATCAGCATAAAATTCTATGACGACGAAAGCATGTCCGTCTGTCTGTTGTAATCACTCTAGCGTCTAAACGAATTGGGATAGATCGCCAAAATTTTGCATAGAGTGGTCTTTTGTCTGCAGGCAGGTCGAGTCCACGTTTAGGCATAGCCCCCATATAAGGGTAACGTCCAATTTTCGATATTTTGGTGTTTTTGAACGCGCTTTTCAACCGAATTCGCTGAAATTTGGTACATTGTGTTCTTATTGGGTAATAAATTTCTCAATTAAAAAGATTCCGATTTAGATTTAGCTCCCATATATACTTTCGTCCGATTTTATGTAAATATTGGTACGATAGAGACAAAATTCTGCACAGAGTACTGAAGTATGTAAGATTGATGTATGCCAAGTTGGAATCGGTTCAGATTTAGATACAGCTTAAATATATGGTTTTCTTCCATATATAATCCGATTTTGTGTAAATGGAGCACCATATTGCCGATATTTGTCCGATTAATAGAAACTGAATTAGGTCCAGATTGATGTATGTTTGTATGTATGTAAGTTTTGGTGGAATCGGTTCAGGTAAATATATTTTCATCCGATTTCATCAAAATGATGTACCAAGTAACTAAAGTTTGTCCGCTTTTGTGTAAAGATACATTTTGGAAAGCGCTAGAGTTGGGCAATCTAGTTCACTTAGTGGATCGATCTTTCTTGTTCCTTTTTTAAAGAAGAACTAGTTCCTTAATGTAGTTCCTTTGCTCTATATAGTTCCTTTGCTCCATATAGTTCCGACTCCTACGTAGTTCCTTTGAATCTCTCTCTTTCATCGTTCTTTTTTTCGTTCCATATAGATCCTTTGCTCCATATAGTTCTTTTACACAATGCAGTTCCTTTGTTCTTTATAGTTCTTTTGATCTATATAGTTCCATTGCTCCATATAGTTTCTTTCCTCTTCATAGTTCCTTTGCCCTTTATAGTTCCTTTGCTCTATATAGTTCCGACTCCTACATAGTTCCTTTGAATCTCTCGCTTTCATCGTTCATTTTGTTTTTTTTTCGCTCACATAGTTCCGTGTGGATTTGTTAATAAATGCAAAAATTGAAAAAAATGAAATGAAGCTAATGAATTCAACTGCAGGACGATTAGCACAAAATATTTTTTTAATAAATAAATAAAAATATTGCAGTATTCCAAATGGTGGATGTCATGGTATCTCAAATACGTCCATTTATATATAGATCTTATACATATTTTTCTCGATGATTGACTTTCAACTTTTCATAAATTGAAGATTGGTATGTGTATGGGTTCTTTTAACTAAGTTCAAATATCAATTAACTTCTCGCAGTTAATTTCGTCCGATTCCATTTCAATGCCTCCTCCAAAGATATGAGCATCTCTTGTATGTACCCAAAGTGGTGAAGGGTATCAATAGTCGGCGTAGTCCGACGTTTGAACTTTTCTTACCGGTTTATATTAAAAAAATTATCTGAATAGTTCCGTGTGTTGGGGTTGTCCCCATATAGGCGTATTCTACACTAGTAGTCGTTACTCGAAATAGTCAGTTTTTACCCTACAAAGTATGGAATTCTAAGACGATTTAGCTATCTGTTGTAATAATTCGGCTTTCTGAGGATATTGTGATTAAAAAACTCGAACCTGCCGATAATGAAATATATCGGCCAGCATTTGGGCATATCTTCCATATAATTATACCTAATGAAGGAAAGAATTGAGATACAAAACTAAAATATTGGGTTCGAAATTGGCATACATCGGTCATTAATTAGACATACCCCTCAAATAAAGATAACCACAAATATTCGCTAATTCCTACATTGTGTAGTCAATATTGGCCCACTTTAGGCATAGCCCCATAAAACTTTGTAATATAAATTACAGTAGTTTGAGGATTTTATACTCTACCATGAGTTATTAGTATCAGTCTACGTTTTGGAGTTCTCAGATTTTAGGAAAAGTACCCATTAAAACTGGCCGAAATTTGTATTTGGTGTACATAAGGCATATAAAATACGATGGAAAGATAAAGTCGAAGACAACATTGCCGAAAATGGTCTTTCAAATTAGAAAATCTGCGAAAATACCGACGCGCCTGGAAATCTTTTCTAAGCTCGGCTTATGGAAAGAAAGTTCTGTCACAAGCCAGCTAAGTAAGTAAGTAATGGTTTAAATAAATCGGTTTGTAGAATTATCGGTATAGGCACACTTTTTGGTATGGTCCTATATTTTCATTGCAAGTATCTGTCAGTATACCTATGGTGGAGGGTATCCAAATTTCGGCCCGACCGAACTTAACGCTTTTATCACTTGTTTAATTAATCATTCTGTTGAGGACATCGCCTTTAGGTGATGTAGAGGCTCCGGAATACTGTCGTTAGACGTATTAATCCGAATGAAGGAAATTTGAAAGCACTGTTGCGATTTAGAGCGGATGGCTCCATTATTAAAGCGGCATGATTGCGTACAAATATTTAAAGAATCTATAGAATCGTTAGAATACAATAGGGGAAATGTAATGGTTGTTAGGTCAAACCATTCTTATTACTTACAGCTGTAATGTAAGTTCTATCTTAACACTTATACACGTATTAGGTATTTTCAAAGTTAATCTTTATATATGAAATTATACCTGTTTTTCAGGTTGCTGTGATGCAGTAAACTTTCATCACAGAATTGTATGTAAATATGTTTTTTGCTGTCAAATAATACAAATTAAATTTTAATATGTCTTCATTGCAAGACACGGCTATAACTTCTTCAAGAAATTCAAGAGTACCTTTAAGCTTATTATTTTAATTCCATTAATAAATTTTCATGAACAATGGTCAAACGAGAAAATAAGTGTGGAGAAGAATTAGAAAATTCTTAAATTTGGCGCAAGCCTTATTTATGTGTCTAAACAGCAACGCAATTTTTAAAGAAATTGAGAAGAAATTTTGTCATGAAAATTTTCTCGTGTGACTACTGACAAACTGAAGCAGATCTGTGGATTGCTATGTGGAAAGCGAAAGTTCCCCGACCATATAATGCGCATAATGCGATTGTAGTATGTGACGATGAATTTATATATTATTCTGATCTTAATTAATATGAAATATTGTCATGCCTTTCCATGAACATTTTATGTATATTTTTTAATATACATAAACGAAATTAACGTGTGTATAAGTTAACATGTGTAAAAATTTTACGTTTTTCATTTCGCCCAGCGGATTTTTTTAAAGGCAAATTTTAACGACTATTTTTATATTATCGGCAATAAAGGTACCAAAATTCTGAACAGAGAACACGCTATCGTCAGCGTCGATTAATGACATAATCATTAAAAATTTCGACATCATTGCCATATTGAAATTGCTTAATTAAGGGAACCCCCCTTCTCGATTTTTTTTATTTTTAAGATTTTAAATGGGCCTGTAAATGAATACCAATGCTTGTTAAGGCTTGCAACTTTGCACATACATATATATTTGAAGATTTAAAAAGCAAGAAAAATAATTCACAAAAAATTTTGTTTTTTTTTTGTGAACAAAGAAAAGTCCTTATTTTTGATGGCGGGCATGATAACTCCTCACTGGAACATCGGAATCCGAAAATTCCAACGGTGTTAGAAAGAGTACATGTCTGGCTCTCGTATGAACTAGGATTATTGACCTCGCACAACAATTAACAAAATGGAAGAACTTTGAAATTTTTTTTTTTTGGAAAAACGCATATTTTTCACCACAAACTAAGTTCAAAAATAAGGAAGATCTTCACCGATTGACTTTATCCTAGTTCATACTATAGCTATACACTCACAGAGAAACGTCCCAAAATTTTAAATCGATTGGGTTATTAGTTTTTGAATTATCGTGCCCGCCATTCACAAAAATTCTGTTTGGAGAAAAACGCGTTTAAAGTTTGAGAAAACCTCTTGCTGTCCCTTGATGATAATGCAATAAATCGGCTATATCTTCAAAAATTGTTGAGATTTTCACTTGAAAATTTATAGGGACATTCTTGAATTAGTATAGGTTCGAATTAAATCAAAATATAAAATTAAATTTTTTGAAACCGAGAATGGGTGGGGCCCCCTTAAATATAAATTCAGTTTGATTTTGCTTTCTTGAAACAAAATTTTTTCGCAAAGTAACAACAATTCAAAAATTATGTCAATACTTTTTAAAAGTTTTACACGATCGATCACCTCCATCTGTTACCTCCTCCACATTTAAAAAAATAGTGTTGTATCTGAATTTATCCTATCCCAGTCTCTGGCTTTTTCCAGATGATAAAACGATTTATAATAAAAAATGCGCACTACTCACTTCAAATCATTTCACCAGTTTTAGAGTCTAAAAAAAATATTTTCAAATTTCAATATGCTGATTTTTAAAATGCAGTAAAAAGTTCCCGTTGATCGTACTATGCTCATTTTTGTATGGATGGTGTGTATTCATACCTTTGTTATTCAGGCAAATTTAAAAAAACGGTATCTTAATATAAACCGCATATTACATGTTCAGAAATTGTAAGGTATGTTTACTATTTATGCTATAACTCCGCATCCACGCGGAATTTTTAATGTTTATAGAGCTTATGTTACTTTCAGGGCATGTCTCGATATACAGTGTAAATCTCATTAAGATCAATTAATAAGCAACTTACATGCAGCTGCAATATATACTAATTTCAATTTTAAAATAGGAAAAACTCTGGACTTTTATATGCTCGCATTAACACTACATATTGTCATTTTTTTTTTTTTTTTTTTTTTTTTTTTTTTTTTTTTGAAACACACCGTTAATAATTTTTATCAATTTTACACAATTGTTATGTCCATGAAAACAGATAATGACACGTAATAACCAAAATTACTATTTGCACATCTTATTATCTATCACTCTGTTACTTCCCCACAAAATGGTATTTATTATAATCCACATATTTTTGTAATCCAAGTAACTTTTTTTATATAAATATACTAGCGGGACCCGTGGCGCTTCGCTGCCCCTGCTGAAGTTATCAAATTAAAATTTAGGTATGATCAATTGGTAATCATCTTATATACACCTGCAATATTTACTAAATTTCACGAAACTTTGCCCACATAATTCTAGACTTAATTCAGTACGCTCTGCTAAAATTCGTGCAAATGAAAAGATTTCCAGGGACTTTGGTGCATCAGTTACCTAAATTCGGGCGAAACTATATATGGGAGCTATATCTAAATCTAAACCGATTTTCATGAAACTTAGCACACATTATTATAGACGCAGTTCAGTATGCTATGCTAAATTTCGTTCAAATCAAAAGATTTCCAGGGAATTTAGTGGACTATTTTCCCAAAATCGGGCGAAACTATAAATAGGAGCTATATCTAAATCTAAACCGATATTCACGAAACTTGACACACATCATCCTAGGCTTAATTCAGTACGCTGTGCCAAATTTCGTGCAAATCGAAACACATATATGGACTTTAGTACACAATTTACCTTAAATCGGACGAAGATATATATGGGATGTATATCTAAATCAGAACCGAAACTTAACACACATCATTCTAGACCTTACTCATTACGCTGTGCCAAATTTCGTGTAAATCGTTCTTGGGCCAAACAAATGAGCTGTGCCAAATTTGAAGTGTGGTGAAGGGTATAAAAATAGCGTCATATCTGAATTGAAACTATCCCAGTCTCTGACTTTTTCCGATGATAAAACGATTTATAATTAAAATTCACACTACTCACTTCAATGTTTTTTTTCTTTTTTATTTTGAAATCCAAATAACATTTTGTTTAATTGTGTTCAAAATAAACTTTTTTTCACAAACTGACAAAAATGGAAAATTATAATGTCAACCAATTTTTTTCATATATGTATGTATATGTATTTCAAAATATATCCTCATCGTTCGAAAATATATCCCCATCGGATTTGTATCCATGTTACTTAACCATATTTTCAAGCCGCTATCTTATGATATACCCATAGAAAATATTCTACATAGGTAGGTACATTCTTTCAGATGTATGAATACTTTTGATGCTATTACTCCTCAGTTTTATCTAACCTATGTTACTTCCATGGGATCGCTTGAATTACTATGAACATTTTAGAAATATCTGTTTAGTGGTTTTTGATTCCACAAACAATATGTTTTCTATTTTCTACGTATAGATTTAAATGCAATAAGGTGTGCATTTTCCCTTGTCCGCGGTCATGTTGTGTGGATGATGCGTATTTACACTCACGTTACTCAGCAATAGTTTGAAGTCGGTATCTGTAACCGTACTTAAGATATACACAAATTACATGTTCATAATTTTTGAGGTATGATTACGTTCGATGCTATAACACCGCATCCTCGGGAAATCTTAGAAGTTTTTAAAGCATATGTTATTCCCAGGGCATGTTATGACGTTCTGTGAAAATCTCAGTAAAATTTTTTCAGCATTTTTAGAGTCTACAAACAAAATATTTTCAATTTTCAATATGCTGATTTTTAAAATGCAGTACAAAGTGCATTTTCCGTTGATCGTACCATGCTCATTTTTGTATGGATTGTGTGTATTCACGCATTCATTATTCAGGCAAATTTTGAAAACTATATCTGTGACCGTTGTTAAGATACACGCATATTACGTGTTCAGAAATTTTGAGGTATGATTACTATTGATGCTATAACTCCGCATCCACGCGGAATTTTAAAAGTTTATATAGCCTATGTTACTTTCAGGGCATGCCCCGACATACAGTGTAAATCTCATTAAGATCTGTTCAGCGGTTTTGGCGTCTATCGGTAACATACAAACAAACAAACAAACAAATTTTTTTCTATTTTATATACATATGTATATAGATATAGATTTAGAATTTTCTGCCACTGAACACATGATATGCGTACATTTCGAAGGAAGATATTGTCTTTTTTATTAATTTCTCTTTCGAGACGATCGGAGTTGCAATGAAAGGGAAAGTCAGAGAGATACTACATTCCCACCACTATGCGACGCGTTTCGCCGTTGGTTAAGCGGCTCATCAGACATATTGGGCAATGTGGCTTACAAATGTCTTTACTTGATAAGTTGTATTTATGTCGAATATTGTTGCGAAATTGCATCTAAGAGTTAAATTCAACCGTGCCAAGGTTCGGACATTTGTCATCACACCAGAACATTCCTTTTCAGAGCAGATTTTTCTTGTAGTGACGGACTTTTTTTCCATACAAACTACAATATTTTTCTTCAATGGTATGCAACTGCATATTGTGTAACCTTAGGAAGATAAGGAGGTGGCTTTGAACGCAAAGGCGCCGGACATCAACAGATGCCATGGGAATCAGGGTCCAAATCCCAGCCGGGCTCAAGCTGAATTTTTTGAGTTTTGTTTTTATGTCTTTTTAGGGCGAAGGATCATTCATGTAAATGTTTTTTATTAATTTCTCTTTCGAGATGAGCTTTTCCTTTTTTTCCTTTTTTAAAAATGTTGCTTTAGTTTTGTCATACATACATACATACATATTAACCTTATGAATAAACCTTTGTTTTGAACATTTTTGGGTCTAAAAACGGCCTAGCGCAAGGTATGTAGAATAAAACTCCTCTAGAAAATGATATTACTTCCACATAAGGGTCCCAACCGGGTTTATTTAAATGCACCTCACCATATGTCATCTCTTTGCAATTTTTGATATCAATTCCTATTTTTAAATTTTCTAATCATATCAGGAGTATCTAACTTCATTTTATTTTCAATACATAATTCCAATCGTTAGTTCATTTGTTCCACATTTTTATCAAGCACACATAATACTTTAGATTATCAAAAACTTTAATTTTTTTATAAAAACAAATAATAAATAGATAAAAGCCAAACTTCCAATACTATCACAAATTATTAATTTACTTTTTCAAAATTGCCACCCAATACCGTCCAGATTGTACCATTATCGGCTGTTTCCACAATTTTCATAAAAGCTTGGGCACATTGTTCGGCTGTTTGAACAGATTGTTTGCCGAGAGTCTTCAAAATTGCTTCACAGTATTCCGGGAATGTGGACTTAGACGCTAAATCTGCCACAATTGGGGTAATTGTGGCTCCCGGACAAACGGCAATAAAGTTTACACCACTACATTCATAATATGCCTGAAAAAAAACATTATATTAATAATAGAACACAAAGTGTATTCCTTTATTTTAAATTTACCGCCATGGATTTGGTAAAGTTAATAACGCCACTCTTCGTTGCTCCGTATACAGCTGTCATTGGCATATTTTCTAAACCAGCCAAGGATGCAATGTTCACAACCAAACCACCGCGGCCGCCCTTTGCCTTGCTCATATGATTTAGGGCTATTAAATTGCTGTGAATGACACCGGTCTGTAATGAAAAATATAAATTTTCATTTAAATTCTCGATAATATGAAAAATATAACTTACCAAATTTATGGCCACGGTCAAATCGATCAGACGTTCATTCAAAATGCCACTCCCATTGACCACGATATCAATGCCGCCAGTTTTGTCCATTACAACTTTATAGGCATCCTTAATGGTCTCCACCATGGACATATCAACTCGAACATATTCGATTATAGAATTAGGAAATTCTTTTTGCAATTTGGACAAATATATATCATTGGTTGCCAAATCGAATATAAACAGATGGGCAATTTCCTTCTTTAATAATTCTTCAATACATTTTCGTCCAATGCCACCAAATCCACCAATATAGATTACACATTTACCCCTAACGTCCATCTTTATGCCTAGACAGTTGAACCAGCACTGACGTATTGATTTCAGAACGCATAATTATGTTTGCTGTTTTAGCCAATTTCCAATCGCGGCAAACTATGATAAGCAAACATTGTTAAATAGTTGTTTAAAAAAAAAAATAACAACAAATTAGGGAAAAAGTATTTAATACACAAAAAATCAAGATAACCGTCAAGTGGAACGTGTATTATTAGGTTTGTACGATAATTTTTGCAGTTAAAACTATCCAGCAATTTAAGTTGAAGGATTTTACTATCTCATGTGAAAAAAAATTAATAAAGTTATTGAACAACATCCAGTAAATTCCAGTATGAGCAACTGGATACAAAATAACAACTCTTAACTGTATGTGGCCCAATGTTGCCCACAGGCAACAAAATGTTTTAGAGCTTATATTTAATACGCAGCTAGTAGATATATATTACTTGGATTTCATATGTCAAGACCTGATTATGACTACACATATCAAAAGAAAAATCCAAAAAATTCAAAATGTTGGTAAAGTCGCGAGCTTTTCAATATATAGAAGAGGGTAAATTTGTGTACAGTACTAATTTGAGTATACAGTCCAAATTATTTAAATCGCTTCGTATACAAATTATACGAATTCTGCCATCAGAATTGTTCTTGATTCCTGTAAAAATTAATATAGAGAATAATTTTAAAAGATTTTTCTGTTCATTTTCCATTTGGTTTTCTTGATATTGGACTTTTATTTTTCAGAAAGAATGTACTGTATCTCTTTTGTGCATATCCTATTTAAGATAGTTGCATTAAATCTGTGAACAGAAATTTGTTCCAAGATTGCGGCAAAAAATTCGGGGCTCAAAGGGTTAATAATGAAATTTTATGAATTGAATTGCTTGCTATAATATAATGTATTTTGCTTTGTACCTTTAATATAATAAAAATATTCAGATTTAGTTTGAATATATATATATATATATATATTTGACAACAACAAAATAAACATGAAAACCTTACTGACTAAATTCGACCAGTAAGAATTTTCCATTACTCAGTACACAACTTGCCTAAATTTCTATCTCAAAGAGAGTACCCTTTTACTGAACGCTTAAGTTATCGAACAACATTCAGTAACAATTTGTACAATTGTTACAAATTATCAGACATACCTATTAACTGATTATAAAAATGTGTATGAATGTGTGCATATACACAAATAATGTACGTAAGTAATATGCTGTGTCATTTGTTCTATTAAAAAATGTTAATATTTCACATTAGTATTTTTAAAATGTTTGAAGCATTTCCCGCACATTGTTACTATGATTAAGCCATTCGGGACTGAGAGTTTAGAACAGTGTTGAACAGAACTACATCGTAAGTAGATGTGTGAGAGCGTAACTGAGAGATCATCATTAAATATAAAAAATGAATAGAGAAAAAAGAGACTATGTGTTTAGCTAACATCGCTATCGTACTCTTTTGTGCATTAGTGCTTTTGAAACATAGTATTAGGTAACATTTCAATTGCATCCACAAATCATCATTTTTTGGGTTTTACAGCCTGTTATGTCCGAAAACTATTTTCGTCGCAATCGGATAATCTTTGGATATTTGGTGTACCACTTCTGTTAAAACGGAGCTACAGCTAAATCTGAGCCTAATCTACTAATACACTATACACGCCACTTAGGCTCATTCTAGACTTAATTCGGTACGTTGTGCAAAATGTCGTCTCATTCGAACTAAGGTTGAACATCATATCAGGTCTCACTCTTGGCCGATTTCAGTAATCTGTGTAAAATTTCTTCGGAATCGGAAAAACTTTGGGTATTTGTTGAACCGTTTAGGTGAAATCAAACGAAAATATATACGAATGTTATAACCAAATCTTGATCGATCTCAGTTTGCACACTTCATTCTAGGCCCTATTCGGTGCTCTGTAGAAAATTTCGATCAGACAAACATTGACCCATTGGTGCACTAGAAATAAATCAGTAGTGTCGTAATGCTACTGAGGTAAAACGCGGCGTTAGAGCAACCCTGCAGGTAGTAGCATCACCTAATGAGAGTGAGAATTATCGAGAGAAAAGTAGAGAGGACAAATGTAGTAAAAAATAAAAGAAGAGCGATTTGCTCAAGCTCAGATTTTACTTTTTTTCTGCACAGAGATGTACAGGAGTCAGAATGAAGTCCGGAAATTTTACCAACGATTAAAACGTCAAACTAAAGGTTTTAGTGCAGGCACATCCCCATGTAGACGTGAAGAAGTAACCCTGGTGACAGAAAGAGTTAGATAGTGTCGAAACTAGTTGATTGCAGCTATTCCGATTTTGGAATAAAATAGTGGACGTGAAGAATATATCTCAGAATATATACCAATAAGATTATGACGGTATATAGTGTATACCACCTAACCAATATGAGGTCAGATAGCAATAAAACAGCAGGTGCAGATGGTTATCAGACGAACTATTCAAGGCCGGTTATTAAATGCTGATCAGAGAATATACCAGCTGTTTAGTACAATCTGACTAGAGGAAATTCAATGGTCAATGACATTATTCGACTATATTAACTACTATACTGAACTGAACTGCTATAGATCAGATAATAAACTGCGCAAGAAAAAAACACATAGACATTTTTCATCTATTCGTCGACTACAGAGCCGCAATTGACAGTCCTAACCATTCCAAAGAGTTAAACCCATGTCTGGAGTTGGGCAATCTAGTTCCTTGAACGGCTCGATCTTTTTTGGTTCGCTCCGCAAAAGGAACTATGTCGTTCCTTTAGTTCCATAGTTCATTTTAGTTCACTGGTACACGACAGTTCGTTCGGTCCATACAGTCGTTCATACTTCTTCTTTTTTTGCTTGAATGATGTACAACGTTTAATAGTTACACGGGATACTTCATTCATCAATAAAAGAAAGAGACAACTTATGTTACATTAACTGATTCACATAAATGAGTTGGTGAAACGAAATAAACAACGAGAACAAAAACAACTAGGAGAACAAGAGCAAAAAAGAATGACGGAACAAAATGAACTAGGTGAACAAGAGCAAAGTGGAACGAGCGAGGAAAAGGAACTAGGTGGATGAAAGCAAGAAGAAACGACTGGAGTGAAAGGAAGTAGGTGAAAGACAGATGGTTCCGATGGTTCCTGGAATAGTTCCTTTAAAATAGTTCATTCCTGAATGACACAACTCTACCCATGCCTGCGTTCGGCATTCTTGCAACATTGATACGACTATGCAGGATAACTTTAACTGGAACAATATACGCAGTTAAATTCGAAACCCTTCAATGCCGAACAAGGGTTCAGAAAAGGTGACAGACTATTGTGTGACTTAATTAGCATCCTGTTGAAAAGGGTCATTCAAAGGTAAAAAAGAAATGACACCATCTGTGCACCAAAGAACATATGTTACTCACCTACACCGATGTCATTGACATAATTAATCGAACATTGCGAGCGGTTACTGCCACCTTTTAACAAATCGGAAATGGAGTCTACCAAGCTGATGGTACCACTAGCAAAACGTCCAGTAGACTTGTCCAACTGTATAACTTGAAAATAACAGTTTTGATATAGTCAGAGGTTTTATCTACCTCAATACCGCCATAAATATAACAAATGACACAAGATTGGAGATTAGGAGGAGAACAGTATTGGGCACCAGATTGTACTCAACATTGGTGTTCTGTTCGGGTACTCCGGCATAAGGAAGTGGCTGCAATTTAGAATTTTTCCCCGCAGAATATTGTGTATGTTGGTCATATATATTATTTTGTAATTCCTTTGGTATAAATAGTTCGGTCCGCCCGAATTTAACTTTTTTGCTTGTATCTTGTTATTATATCATTTCGTTACTCAAGTCATTTGACTTAACATATTGAGTACTATTTTAATTTTAATGTTATTCTGGTAGAAGAAATAATAATAATATTATTAGTAATAACATTGAGGACAACTATGTTATATTGTTTATGTTTGACAGCGTTGGTCGACATAACTATTATCGTTTTTAAGATCTGATTTGGTTTATTTATAAACACTTCATCAAATAAAGCATATAAGCAAATAATAATAGACTATCCGCAGTGAATTATTTATAAGGCATAAAGAATATTGTACAGTCGAGTACGCTTATAACTAACACCGGTTATAACGAACTTTTTCTTATAGCGAACACATTTCTTAGTTCCGAAGTTTTAAGACATAGTTTTCAAACAAATTATTACTCTTGTATCGAACTTTTTTTGTAACGAACTATTTGTTCGGACTTGATACAAATCTATGTAATACTGAACGATGACAATCCTCACAAAAGTTAATTTGTACGCTAACGCTGGAAATCTTTACAAAAAATTGTCAGGCTGCCATGTATGTCACAGGAAAAAAGAGAATCAGCTAAAGTATTGTCAAAAAACGACAAAACATCTACCAGTTTCAAACGGAATATATATATTTTATACCCTTCACCACACTGCGGTACAGGGTATTATGTCTTTGTACATATGTTTGTAACAGGCAAAAGGAAACGAGATAGGCCCATGGTTCCTTTTGAGAATATGCATAGAATCACTTTCTGAGTCGATTTATGCATGTCCGTCCGTCCGTCTGTCCATGTTAAATTGTATACAAAGTACAGGTCGCAGTTATTATCCGAACTGGATGAACTTTGGCACAGCTCATCTATTTGGCCCAAGGACGAACCCTATTGAAATTGGGAAAAATCGGTTCAGATTTAGATATATCTTCCATATATATTTTCGTCCGATTTAAAGTAAATAGTGCACCAAAGTCCTTATATATCATTCGATCTGCATGAATTTTGGCATAGCGTAATGAATTAAGTCTAGAATGATTTGTGCTAAGTTTCGTGAAAATCAATTCATATTTAGATATAACTCCCATATATAGTTTAGCCCGATTTTGGGTAAATGGAGCACCAAAGTCTCTGAAAATCATTCTATTTGCACGAATTTTGGCTTAGCGGACTGAAT